GTCAATGAACAAAGAGGCAGGCACACTCCACCTCTGACAACTTGGCTTTGAATACGTCTTCTTAAATTATTTACTACAAATAAAGACAAAAGCAAGGCCATGCTTTTGCTTACTGTGATGCAGTTACCCTGTGTACAACCCAAACCAAACCAACTCTTTCCCCAAAGGAAGGCACAAGGCCCATAGGCCATCTTCATTCCTCTCTGGTGCCTTGTAACTAAGACATTGTGAGAAGAAGTTAATTCTAACAAACACATGTTGTATCAGACAATAAGACTGGGAAGAAAATAAGGCGCTCACAGCTAAGGAAGGTAGGGCCTGTGACAATTAGTACTAAAGAAACAAAAGGACACAGTGGATACAGACAAGCATCCATAACAATGGAAGAAAAATGCATAAACACTACAGGTCCTGCTTCTGTAACAGGCCACAGGCTTTTTCCCACTGCTCCACACTCTCTCCTCCCTTAGCCAGCTCCTCCATTGCTGGGGCACAGCAGTCTGCATTGGGAGTTAAAGTCCCCCACTGACTGTCATCCCAAATGGGAGGACGCAGAGAAACCTGAGAACTTTCTGTCCGTCATGCGCACTCTTCCTGGAGGTAGACTTGATCTGGACACCACAGACAGCACCAGACCTGCCTGCTGACTCAGACGCACAAGGGACCCAAGGCGACAGAGAGGCTGTCTCAACTCTAGGTCAAAGGCATGAACATCTACCTGCTGGCAGAACTGTCCCGCCCTTCGGAACTAAGCCCTGCAGACCAGCAGAGCGAGAGGAGATGGGGACAGAGGCAGAGACCTGCTGATGGGTTGCCAGCTGCTCTCATGCCTCCCCTTTGACCCATGGATTCTTGAATAGTGATGGGGAGAAGTTGCATCATTTCTTAGACATTGTTTAGGAGCTTACATACAGAGGGAGGGCACTGCCCCAACATGCCAGGCTCTGCCCCAACATGCCAGGCGCTGCCCCAACAGGCCAGGCGCTGCCCCAACAGGCCAGGCACTGCCCCAACATGCCAGGCACTGCCCCAACATGCCAGGCACTGCTAGCAGTTAGAGCTCTAACTGAAGCTTCAAAAGAGCTCTTGTGCCATCTCATCAAAAGAAAGGTTTTAGTGTGTGTGTGTGTGTGTGTGTGAGTGTGTGTGTGTGTGTGTG